TCGTGTAGGACAGTCCGCAGTAATGTGGCCAAATCCTTGGCATTTAAAGCATTTGATTGCTTTAGAACTAGATTCCTTGGCAGCATTGGATGGTGGTTTGCGCATAGCAGTAGGTTGTGGCTTGCTTGAGGAGTTAATCTGCTGAAATTCTGCTTTACGGCCTTCTGGATAACTCCTAGAGGATGAAGGTTGGAAAGTGGATCTCTTGGGCATCTGCTTCTCAACACGCACGGCCAGACGAATGACATCATCCAAGGTCCAATATTGTTAAAGCTGGACTGGACGAATGATATCTGTATTTAAGCCTGCAAGGTACCGGGCTATTGTTTGCTCCTCCTTCTCCTGAATATCACACTTCATCATGAGTTGTTCAAACTCTCTAATATATTCTTCTACAGATAAAGATCTCTGTCGAAGATTTTGCAACTGGATAAAATTATCCTGGTGGTAATGATCTGGTAAAAATTTCCTGGTGAGCTGGCGTTTCATTTTCTCCCAGGTTTCAATCTTGCGCTTTCCCTCACGTTCTCGCTTTCGTCTGAGGTTTTCCCACCAAATAGAAGCACGTTTCTTGAGTTTGAGGGCGATAATTTTGACTTTCTGCGCATCTGGAATCTCCTTGTATTCAAATACTCGTTCAACAGTTTGCAGCCAATCTACAAACTCGTCTGGTTGGAGCCTTCCCTCGAATTCAAGAATGTCAACCTTGATGTCATTAGGGCAGAATTGTTATTGTCGTGGGCGACGGCGGTTTTCAGTAGATGACGAACTACTGCTTCCCGAATCTCTCTCTAAGTTTTCTCTATTGTTGTTTAACAGAGTTTGCTGCAATTCCACAGTGGCTTCCAATTCTCGTATCCTACGTCTCAACTCTTCCATCTCAACCTTGTGCACATGTCTACGTCTTGGAGGCATTTTGGATAAGTGTCAAGGCTAGGGATAAAGATTGGGGTGCGATTGGAAACGTTGAAGGATATAGGGGTAAAGTAATTTTTTTTCAAAAGGCTAGGGGCAAAATGGGGATTTTGGACTGTCTAGGGGGTAAAATAGCGATTCTAGAAGAATGATGGGTCAAATTGAAATTTATGAAAAATATAGGGGTTAAACTGGAATTCAGGTAAAATCAAGGGGCAAAAGTGTAATTTTAGGAAAGTTTAGGGGTTAAAATGGAATTTCTGAAAAATTTGGGGGTCAATATGAAATTTCATAAAAATAGGGTTAAATTTGGAATTACTAAAAGATTTGGGGCCAAAATGTAATTTCTGAAAGTTTGGCTGACTGGGCACAGTGACGTGGCGACTGTGACACGTGGCAAAAAACTATTGGGCTGACCTATCGTTAACCGGTCAGAACGATGACGTGGCAACTGACGTCAGCGTCTTCAACCTTCGGATGGCGCGTGACGGCGCGTGGACCCGCGGCAAGGCGCGTGGTCTTCCGCGTGGACCTCTTGTTCCACGTTTTCGGACCTCCTAAGCACGATGGTGATGTTAGTTTTCTGAGAAAATGCCTGGTTTGTAAAACGCGAAGACGTCAGGGACTCCTCCTCTGAATCTCTCTTCTTTCCGGCGTACTTTCTCAACTGTAACTCACTCTGTCGCTCTCTGGACCAGCTCTGATACCAAAATGGCATAGAAACCGAATGAACAACAAGCAATTCTTATTCTCTGAAGTCTGCCTCTTTCACAAGTCTCAAGGTCCTATTTATAGTCCTAGAATACATGAAACTGAACCATACAAATTTAAAGGGGAGTTACAGAAGTTAAGGGGCGGTTACAAAGAGTTTATGATGCTCATTATGTGTGCCTTCCGTTTTAGCTCGTTTCTTGCTCTTTCTGTTTCATTCTGCTCTTTCCGTTTCACTTATTTTGTGGAGAACTTGTGAGGTTTTTTGTTACTTTTAAACATGTTTTAATTTTGATAGTTGACACAATTTAGATAATTGTTAGTTTTTCTAATAATTAAATAATTTTGTATAGTTGATAAATACTTGATAAACAATATAAATGAATTGAGCTGTCTGATTTGGCAATTTTTATGTATAGGAATGGCAATTTTGATAATTTTGACAATTGTTAGTTTTTTTAATAGTTAAATAGTTTTGTATAGTTGATAAATACTTGATAAACAATTGTAAATGAATTCAGTTGTTTGATTTGAAAATTTTTATGCACAGGAATGGGTAAAATTGATAAAATAAATATAGTATAAAAAAATTAAATACTTTTTACATCGGTTATTACTATAACCGTTGTAGAATATAATATTTTTTACATCACTTTTAACACCGGTTTGGCTTCTAACCGGTGTTAAAAGTGGACTTTTAACACAGTTGGACTGTTGGAACCAACCGGTGTTAAAAGTGGACTTTTAACACAGTTGGATTGTTGGAAGTTAAAGTAATTTTTTTTTATTTTCTTATATATAATTTTCAACATCAGCTTTATAATCGATGTAAAAATTTTAATTTTTATATCGAGTTTATAACCGATGTAAAAAGAAAGACTTTCTATATCCCCTAGAACAACATCGCCTCTTTAACCGCTGTAAAAAGTCATTTTTTACTAGTGGAGTTAGAGAGTTGAATACCTGATTGATCAGTAAATTCTTGTTGAAGTTCAGTTGAGTAGTTAAGGCTAAGAAGCAAAGAAGATTTCTACACATTTACAAAAAGCCCTGACAATTATAGAAATTACAAATGACCTCTTTAGTGGTTTCAACCTTGTCCTCGTGAGTTTAAAGAAAATATTGAATCATTAGCCTACAATAGGTGAGAAACAAAATATGAGTTTTGAAAAATGTTGATTCTTTTGAACTCACCTTATTATTCCTTGTGAATGAGGAGGCAAGATAAAACAATGGCAGCAATAATATAAAGATAAGGAAATAAAGTGTCACCTTATCTAATGCCATTAGAGGGGTATATTGGGTGAGAGAGCCAGCCATTAAAGATGATTTGATATTCCACCGTAGAAATTCGTTGAAAAATCAATTGATCCATTTAGGTGAAAAACTCATTCTGTGAAGAACAACCTCAATAAAGATCTACGACAATCTATCAAAAGCTTTTAAGAAATCTAATTTTAAAGCACCCAATCTCTTTCTTTTCCCTTTCGTCAAATGAATTTGATGAATCAAGTTTGCCACTACTAAACTATTGTCTGAGATGAGTCTATTAGACAAGTAAACACTTTGGAAGTGGGATATTAACCTTGGAAGTATAACTTCAAGCTTGTTGCTCAAGACCTTTAAGAGGATTTTGTAGAAAACATTGCAAGGGCCAATTGGTCTGATGTCTCTAAAAGTCTTAATAGAATTACTCTTAGAAGTGAGGGTAATAAAAGCGTGACTTTGTGCTTTAAGAATATGATCAAAGGCCTAAAAATAAGAGACCATATTAAAAGCATCTTCTTCAACAATATTCCAAATTTTTTGAAAGAAATTGGCATGAAATCCATTCGGTCCAGGTAAGCTATCCTTTGGCAAGCTAAAAACAACAACTTTAACCTCTTCTTTGAGATGGGAGCCATAAGAGGCATTAGATATGCATCATTGACTTGTGGTATGTAGAAAGAGTTAAGATCAGTTGAAAGTTGCTAAATATTGTAGACACCGGAACAGGAGTAAATTTTATCGAAATGCTCTTATGTAATAGAAAGACGCTCTATTTGATCATCAATCCAAACTCCGTTTTCAAGCTCAAGACATTTGATGAAATTCTTTGCTTTTCGACTGTTAACAGTAAGATGGAAAATTTTTGTATTTCTTTCTCCTTCCACCTTCCATTTAACCTTTGCTCTTTGCTCCCAATAACTGTGCAGACAGTCATAAGAGAATTTTAAAACATGCTTGGCTTCTTGTAACTATTGAAGGAGGTGCTCATTTGGAGGGTAAGCAAAATCGATGGTAGCGGTGAGTTTTTGAATCTCATTCTCAAGCAAATTAATTATGTGATTAAGGTTTCCAACCTTAGATTTACTCTAAACTGAGAGGCTAGATAACACCTTAGAAAGTTTACTGTAAATCTTAAAAATGGAGAACCTAAAGCAAAATAGATTTTTGTTTGAGGTGCCCTCATTACTTACTCTCTCTATTAAAAAATGTAAAGCATTTTTAATTGAATCTTACTCACTAATAAAGTAGTTACTTACTTTCAAACTAACCCTATCTTTTCATATTTATCCTTATTAAATACCCTATAATAAATATAAATTCATTTATCAACAAGGGCACTTTTAGAAAAAAAAAAGTAATGATTACACCTTGGAAGACTAAAAATGCCTTATATTTTTAAATATTCAACTTCTCAAAAGATACCTTACATTTTTAACAAAAGGAGTATAGTTTTAGCTAGAAATATCATTGCTAAAAATATATTTAATTTATCAAAACAAATATATGAAATTAATCCTAAATAGAGTATATAAACAGATCAAATATAAATAAGTTTATTTGTTATAATTAACTCAATCAATTCCAACTTTTATACTCTATCAATTGTTTTTATAGAAAATTTTTGAAAGTTTCTCTTGATCTTATTTATAAGAAATAACAACTTCTCTAGAATATTTATTAAAATTTATTTCTTTCACTGGGATTATAAATGAGTATTTATTAATGAGATCAATTATTAAAAGCCATCAACCAATTATTAAAAGAGGGTATTTTCCAAAAAAAAATTTGGAAGATATTTATTGAATCCAATTAATTTTAACTATATTTCTCAATCTTTAAAGAGCAAGACCTATGTACTAAATTTTATATACTTAATATATTTATATCCAATCAAATCATGATATGTGGATACAAGATTTACATGTTACATTTAATTGGATATAAGTATCTTAAGTATATATTATTAAATATATAAGTTTTCTTCATCTTTAAAAATTAGTCATTCGCCTCTTATAAGAAAGAGCAAAAAGAGTAAAATAAATTGATCTTTCATTTTTTTAATCTATCAAGTTTTAGTAGATGTGAAAGTAAAGCAATTTCACAAATTAATAACTTCCTCTTCCCTCCACTTAAATGAACAATGGGCATGCATGACATATCCATCATGGATCAGAATAAGCAATATTAGATAATTACATAAAAGTGTATACATGAATAAAAGTACAAAGATTGTGAAGGATACAGAGAAAATATGGAGATTGAGAAGGATATGATATCAAGTTCTGTAAAATTGGAGTTCATATCTGGAGAAAGAAGAAGAGAGATTGAGGAAATGATTGATGGTGGTGGCCCAGGTCTTGTAGCGATGACCATCATCGGCCATATCAAGCTTGAACGTTCCTCTGCTTGTCGTCAAAACTATCAGATAACATGTCTCAGCTTCCTCACCTTCTCTATCTTTATACAGCTCTGCATGCATGTTCATCACTATACCTGAATCCATCCATATTCACCATTCATTAGTGAAAACATCTCAACATTAAAATCACAGAAGAAGAACAAGATGACGAAGAAAAAGGCCGTACTTTCCTTCTTGCTTTTTAACAGATTGTGCTTCCTCATTATAAGAACCACCTGTACATCAATCATGCACACCACAGTTAAATTAAACCAACGTGCGGCTTACGTCAACTTGGCCCTAAAGGACCTGTTACATTAGTATTTTGATGATCTTTTTTAATTGTAATTATTTGCAATTGATTGAGATGAGATTTAACGAGAGAGTCAGGATTTTGAGCCTCAAAACACAGGAAAAATAGTGCAAAGTTGGTGACCATATAAAGAAGGTGATAATTCTGACCTTAGCATCACTTTTCAAGACGACAGATACTGATCTAACCATGCACTCCCCTGATTACACATGAATTTGAATTATTAATGAGTCAGAAGAAGAGGCGGCAATATCAAGTTTTTTGTTTTTTTGGTCATTGGTGTACCTTCAGGCGTTTCCACGTGCAACTCAGCTCCCTCTGCGAGAATGGATCTGCCTTTTGCAAAGTCAAAGTCCAAGTCATTGTTGTCTTCAATGGGCAAAACTGGCACACCCCCATTTAGCCTGTTCTTGCATCCTGATCTTGCTTTCAGTGTGGCTGCTCCTTTCAATGCTGCACCATTGTGAATGTACTTTAATTTTGTTCATAGTAGACAAACAGTATCAGATACATGAATTATTGGGTATTAAGGTTCTTCATTCTTTGATCTATATAATCCCACTAGTTTCCTATTTTGATCTCACTCTTTATAGGCCTTACCAAGACAGGATGATGGAACCACTAACACCAAGTTTGTTGAAAGCATCCAAAGTTTCTTGATTTAGAAAGAAAACCATGAGGATGCGCACAAGTTGTACCAACTAAATTCAAGACAAGGTTGCAAGGGATTGCTAAATTGATAGTTGAACCTATAGTATGGAAATCCAGGTCTGCCCACTTAATTGAACCGGTAAACCTTTAAACTAGTATCTAGACCAGTTTAATAAAATATTTTATTTACGACCAAATTGACTACACTATTTATCATTAATTTTTAAACTAGTGCCTTGACAGGTCTAATGACCGATTCGGTTTTGAATATTTTAGTTGAACCTTACTTATTGAGTATCCTAGTAGAAGTGCAACAGAAAATTATAAGATTATTTGAGAAACAGCATAAAGATGAGAAAATTACATGTTGCAGCTGCGGCTGTTAGGGTCAATATGTCACTTGCACTTGTACCAATCATGGCTGAACTAATTGCACTGTTAAGTTGGTCCTTCTTTGCCCCCATGGCTTCTGCAACTTTTGCACACTGAGCTGCAACCAAGGCGGCTGCAGAAGCTACGGCTGCTTCCTTCTCGGCGTTAGAAGGCCAGTCGCCCTTCAAGTTTTCTGCAGCAATGACTGCTAGAGCAGCTGCCACCCCAGCCACTGATATTGCTGCATGCACTTCTGCCGTTTGCACCCTTTGTTCCTCCCTTCTCCTCAGCTTCAATTCTCTAAACCATTTCTTGATTGACACGTTTTTCAGTGGCATTATCTGCTTCCACGGCATCTGTGTGCAGAAAACAAAACAAAACCAATCAATGCAAATTGAACATACAACCTTATCATGCGTTTCTGAAGTATCCTTAACACGTCAGCCACTCTTTAGACTAGTCTAAGTTTTCTGTAAGAAATAAATTATTGCAGAGTGTTCTAAGAGAAAGAAATATTCAGAAAATAAATTCTCATACTCATTCCTAATCCTTTCTTCAACTCCTATTGTAATACTTGTAAAACATGGCTTTAGCGCAGTTTGTTCCATGTCATTAGTTATGTCAGTGCTTCATAGACAGAACCATGACTCTAAAATGAAAGTTCAAACGTTTAATGTGCAGATGACAAACCCATTTCTTTCGGAAGTAGCTGCTGTAATTTAACTCAGGATGCATCGCTTGCTGCATCCATATCCATGACTGAAAATTCAAAAAAGAAAAGAAAACATGAGCATTTTTTTTCAATATGATCTTGAAGTTATTTCATGAGCAAAATCCAGAGTTACCTTCACATCATTAGACTTCCATGAAGGGACAGACCCGATATCTGCATTGTCCATTCTAGCACTCTTTTCCATCTGTTTTAGAAATATTCACAATATTTGATTGAATATACAAGTGTATGTATGTAGATATGAATGTTAAACTAATTTCAAACAGTTTGACTCACTGTAGGACTAGCTATTGGACTGCCCTCCAATTGTTTCATTGGGTTATCAGCAAGAACTAGTGATAATCCATCTTGAGGCTCTGGTTGCAGAGCCTGTACAGCGAAGTTGCACCATGCACGTGACAGAAGATCCATTGTCTCTGGGTGTGCATCTGAGGGAGCTAGATTGAAGTTGGAGGCCATGATAATAAGATCTTGCTGATGAGAACTGAGCTGCGTACAGTTTCAGAAATGCGTGTGTAAGCAACAACGCATGCAAATTTATAAAGACATGCTTCTTAATCACAACGCAAGCTTATCAATATTATTCTAATCTGCAAATCCCCAAAAAGGATAAAAGAAATACAAGATTCTTAATAATGCAACATACCAACCACAATAATCAAAAGATTTTTATGGAGCTGTAAATTATTGAATCAGCAAAGAGTGCTGCAGCAAAAAAAAAAAAAAAAAAAAGGCATCTTTTTCATCATTGCCCTTGATCATAATCGGCCCCACTTCTTGAATTTTTTGAATCAGCTAAATGAAAATGACAGTGTACATTATACATATGAATCCAGTATACAAGTGGCTATGTTAAGCGTCCTACACCTACAAGGGAACATACCCTGAAGTCTCTAGGGGACAGGAATTGCAGGGATGAGACATTACAGTTGGAAAGGTACGTTTAGATATTAGCATACCATCTTCATTTGAATTTTCATCCAAGATATTACAGTACTGTTGATAAGTTATATATATAATATGACTTGTTTGTTATTAGACTTCGTATGGTACATGAGGGCCTACTTTTTTGTTTTGTGTGTGTGTGTGTGTGTGTGTGTGTGTGTGTGGTGTTAGTAGGTTGCAATTAAAGGGGCCTAAATGGGATTGAAAGAGTTGAATTATATTGCAGATCGATTCTGATGGAAGAAAACAAGGCGTCAAGATTCATATACAGTGGAGGAAAAAAAAAACACATGGTGGTCACAAGAGAACATTCAGAAGGGACTCTTTGTTTCAGGCATCTTTAAATGAAAGCAGTGAACTTGGGCTAAACCAGAAGCAATTTTTTCATTTTTTATGATACGTGATATGCCTACATGCCAGAGTTTTGTAGGGCCACCACATCAACAAATTTATACTGTTCATTTTTTCTCCCTTTCATTTAATTTCTTCCTGAGAGATTTACCACTTGCAAGCTCACATTTTCTTTTAAGAGCCAAAAGAAAATCATTGGAGTTAGTTTCAGCACAAAATGCTAGTAGCAACGTGGTATTACAAGTATAATATTAGTATTTTGCCTCAGATTGACATAAAAAGCAACGGTTTTCATCACTTAAGTAATGTTTGCCCCGAGAAGCATTTCGAAAGGAAGGAGAACACAGCTGGCTAACACATATAAGTGAGCTTTGAAGACATGGGTGTGCTACAACAGCTTAGCCCAATAACACTTATAGGCTTCCAAGACTTTTTCAATTGTCTTCATATCAGGTTTCTTACCGAACCTAAGCTTTGATACCACTTGTTAAGTCCGGGGAGCATTTCGGAATGGAAGAAAACATAGCTAAGCCATCCAATGATTCCAAAAAGATACATATAAATAAATATGACATAACATCTTAATTCAAAATGTTAAAGCGTTGGGTTTATGAGTTTATTTCATTTATATGCCTCTTTTATAACCCAACTTCAATCTGGGGCTTTTTTCTCATATCTATTTTGTGTGTCAAAGTGTGTGTGTGTCAAAAGTCCCACATTGACTAAATGAAGGACTCTCCTAGTGTATAAATATTAAGAAATAAAAGTGGGTTAGTAAAATGGGCTTGGAGGAAAAATGAGCTTGAGCACATGAAACAGGTCAATTCAGGGCAATCGCAGTTAAAATTACTGATTCTCTTCCTTGCGCGCAAGTTCAAGAGGCAATGAATTCCTTTTATCAAATTATTTTTGCAAAATAAATAATTATTTTTGGCTTATCAAACCATGAACATTTTTAATTATTAACCAAATTAATTTTGTAAATGTTTTTGTCTCCCCAACATTTCCAAACAAGAGGTTAAATGTGTTTTACGTTTGCATAACTTTAATCCAGTGACTAAGAGCCAACGTTCATGTCTCCATCTTCGGGCTATATATAGCCATGGTGCAGACAGAGCAACTCGCCAGCCTCTTGAGTTTTCGGAGCAATTCTCTCCTCCTTTCTGTGTTGTTCATCTGAGTTCGTTTTTGTTTCTGCTATTCTGTTTCCTTACTCCACAGGAAGTGCTTGTTAATTTTGGGAAACTGTCGGTCCGTTATCCCGATGTGCCGGAATAGTTCTTAAGACAGTATCTTCGAACACAACTTAAGCAGCTTGTCGTTCGACGTTCACGTCTACACTACCATTGCAGCCAACAATATTCAAGTTAAGTCAACTCACACTTGATATTCTAACAAGTAAGTGGTTGGAGATTCAAATTCTAAATCTTATATATGTAGCAATTATCAAGTAAAGTAGATAAGTTTTCTGAAAACAATCTTAGAGAAATTAACATATTATGTTGAACTTGATGGAGGTTAGGTATTTTGAAGTAGAGAAGATTGGGATCCGAGAAAAAGGAAGGTAGAAATAAAAGGGAAGGAAGAGGCATAATGAGGAAGCATGGTGAAGGGCCAATATTGTTGATGTAAAGGAAGTAGACGCGCATGATTGTTATGATGAACACTGAGAAAGAAGGCACCAGACAGGTATAATTACACTCTATTAGATCATTAGAATAATCAAACCACTGAGCAACAACCGTGTATATATATATATATGTTCTAGTTAAATAAGAACGATGAAGATTAGAGCTTTTCGTGGTCTGAAAAGAACCATGTAAAGTTGCTAGTTTTATACATGGCGTATAGTACATTTTCCAAAGAGATCATCATGCTAACGACCTGTCAATTTTAATTAGGACGCCCTTCCACCCAATATATATATATATAAAACATTTTTTGAGATGATTGAAATTGATAATCTGTAAAACGTGTTAAAAACTTTAGACCAAAATTACACAAGTCTCTATTTTTTTTGTGTCATAATTAATAATCTCTAATTTAAAATTTGAGTTGGTACTTCGAGTCGGTTGAAATAAAGTCAAAAAATCTTGAGATTAAATTAGAAAGTTTAGAAGAAAAAAATTTATTTCGATTTGCCCAAACCCTAATTGACTTATCCCAAATACCTCAATTATTTTTTATTATTATTAATAAAATGAAATTAACATTTACCTCTAGCTTTCATTTAGCACTCACACAAACCTTCTCCCAAATTCCTAGTTCATATATTTTGCACTTTTAAATGAAGTTTTAATGTTTTAATTACTGTTTGTTTTGAATATTTTTTGAAAACATAAAAGCAAAATAATTACAAGAGATTAACTTCATATGCTTTCATTTTTACACTTTCAATGCTTGATCTCACCTTAACAATTTAGGTATTTGAGTTAACATGAATAAACTAAAAAACTTGAAGTGTTTGAGTCAAGCTTATTTATATAAATTTATATATATATATATATATATAAATATTTTAAGCTCAGCTCAAATTAAGTTTAGATTGTCTGAATTACGGGCTATTTAAAATTGACTATGGACTAGTACATTTTTTTTTTCATATATTGCACCAGCTTTCAAAATGCCACTAAGATATAAATTTAATATTTTATATTGGTTGATAATTGATTATACAATTAATCATTTATGTACTTTTTTTTATATAGTTGAATCTATTTTAAGATTTTTCTTTCAAAAAAAGATTTGTTAAAAAGGCTTGCTGATTGGGGTTCATGTGACAAGCAAAGACTTTGTGAGTTAGATGCTTAAGAGTGTTTCTAAATAGTGTTTCGTAACTAACAGGACCACCAACAAACATTCTAAGATCCATGTACTTGTACCAATTTGATCATTAACAATTGAGGCTGCCACTTAAAGTGATGGTCATTGAGAGAATATCTGGATTTATAATTCAAGTACTTTATGGTGTGGGGTTAGCAGGAATCTTGGTTCTTTTCATATCTAATGAAGTAATCTGCATCCGTCAATATACAACAACAATTTTAACAATTCATACTATTTATAAGTAATCAATAGTGTCACTTATTTATTAGATTTTGTGTGACACACACAAAAACAACTTTAATTTTGATAAAAATTACTTACATAACAAACCATATATCATGACTTTTCAGTAATGCAATTTCCTATATTTTTATAAGGAAATACAATTGAGTTTTAAAAGTTCAACATGATAATAGTTAAATCTGAATATATATATATATATACACACATATATATGAAAAGATGAGTTTCAAATATTGATTTAAATAATTGTAAATATGAAAAATATTAATTACAAATATATGGAGTACTGACTCATGAAACTTAAATATTTTATTTATAAGAAATATTATTATATTTATAATTATTTAAATTAATATTTATAATTTATTTTTTAATTAAAAATTATGAGATCAACTCATTATTGAACTGTCATTCCTCCTATTTTAGATTGATATAACCTATTCCTACTTTTATATGTATTTTAAGCCTGTTTTCACAAAGAAAAGAGTTAAAGAGTTAAAATGATGGCCAAACGTTTCAATATATCTTCTCCAATTCATGCCAGGCATGCATGTCTTATGTTCAATCTAGAATATAATATATAAGGGCAAATAGAACTGTCAATTAAAGTTGAGTTCATTGAACCGGCCCTTTTAAGTTTAAAGAAATTTAGAGTCGAGCCTTTTTTTGAACTATAACATGTTAAATCAAGCTTAAAAGAGCCCTTTTAAACCCAAAATAAAAGGATCAGTCATTTTAAGCCGTTTTATATAATTTTTTTAAATTTAATATAAAAAATAAAAACTTTAAAACTAAATGTTATGTGTAATAATTGATAATGTTCTACAAGGAAAAAGATTAAATTATATTGATGTTGATGATAATGAAAATTATCAAGATTTAGCTGATGATGCAAATAAAGTTTAATTATTATTGTGTCGATTTTGTAATATTGCTACTTTTTATTAGACTTAAATTTATTATTGTGTGTATTGTTTTAAATTTAGTATGCTAGACTTAATGTTATTTGTAATAATTTTTTTAGGATTTCAAATATATTTTTTAAAATTTTAAATTAAATATATATATATATATATATGGCTGAGACCCTGAGGACCAGCTCTTCAGCTTTGAGGACCAAAGCTGGGCTTGTCAAAATAGAATTCTAAAGTGAAATCGGGCTTTATAAAGCCAG